TAAGTTATGCATGGGAACCAGCAGTGAGGGGCGAAGAAATGAACCAATCGGTCACAAAAGAAATTATTCATAATGTGGATCCAGAAGGGAGATATTTGTGAATGGCTAAGATCAGGCTTCAGTTTTTGTATGTATTGTGACAGATAAGAGAAAATCTCTATGTGTTCTTGAGTTGAACAGCTGACACACTGGGTGAGATTAATGGTCATAGTGCTCATGGTGAAAAATATGAAAACACATGAATTCTGCAGTTGTTGTAATGGGGAGCTTGTGAGATGTCAGATTTGGGCCCGAGTGAAAGATGTAGGAGAGGTCTTTGTTACGCAAGTCTCTGGCATTTATTGGAACTGACTTGAACAACAAAATAAAAGATCTAAAAGCACTTTGGGAATAGGTATGCATCATTCTGAAAGGGTATTACTGACGATAATGAAACTTCACGATAACAGTGACTAAGCTAATAAATGCAGCAGAAGGCTATGATCTCATGAATATTCACTGGTTGCTCAAGTGTAAACCCAGGGTCCTCAACCCTACTTGTGTAGCCATGTGCCCATTTTGTAGAGGGGAGCATCAAGATTTGAAGAGGTTAAATATTTGCTTTACATTATGCAATTAGGAGTTATGATTGGCACTTAGGGATGCCGAGGAGGGTGGATCACAAGGTCAAGAGTTCAAGACCAGCCTGGCTAACATAGTGAAACCCCATCTCTACTAAAGATACAAAAAATTAGCCTGACGTGGTGGTGCACGCCTGTAATTTCAGGTACTCAGGAGGCTGAGGCAGGAGTATCGCTTGAACCCGGGAGGTGGAAGTTGCAGTGAGCCGAGATCGAGCCATTGTACTCCAGCCTGGGCGACAGGGCAAGACTCTGTTTCAAAAAAAAGAAGTTATGATTGAGCCTCAGGTCTGTCTGACTCCAGCTGTTAACTGCTATGTTCTAAGCTCTACTATGGTCAGGAGATATTCCTTGAGCACATTTTTCAAGGTAATATGATAAACACCGTAGGGAAGAGAAATCTTAATCAGGCATGGTATATGTCCTCGCCAAACTTGCAGGGTACTAGAAAAGTACTAATTTCCTATAATGCATAGTGGAAAGTGATAAGAAAACAACGAATTCAGGGATGGAGAATTCACCTTTCAGAAGACTGCATGGAGGATGTGGGAGTTGAAGTAGGCTGTGAAAAAGGGGTAAGATGGGGCTATACTGAACCAAAAGGATAAGAATAGAGAGGAAAGAGGCAAGTGTTCCAGGTAAGAGGCAGGGCAGGAACAAAAATGAAGAGGTGGCAAATGCAAGGCAGTTTTTGGAAAAGTTAAATGGCCAGTTTGATGGGACAGAGAGAATATGTGTGGAAGTAGAGAAAATGCTGAAAAAAAAATACAATGCAGATTTAAATAGTATGAGTAATCATTATAGCTAATATTTGCCCAGCACCTAAAATGTGCCAGGCACTGTCCTTTGGGCTTTAAATTTATTATCTCACTGAAAGATTTCTAACTAGACTGTGAGATTGATCTTATTCCCACCCTCATTTTATAGATAGGTCTATCTGTAAACTAAGTTATCAGTTTATCTGTAAAATGGGGGTGAGAATAATACCACTCTCGCAGTCTAGTTAAACAAGTTATTTAGAGTAGTAACTTGTCTGTCTTATGAAGATTACTGGTGAAGCTGAAACTCAAACACAAATTTATCTAATGCTAAAGCTCTTATTTATAAAACCATATGGTCACCCAGTAAATATTACCGTTGATGCCACATAAACTCTGCTTCAGAGCCACAGTTTTGATCCACTGGTCTTATATTTTTTTTTTCTCCTCTGATTTATACATGTCTGATGTATGTTGTCATTTCTCTGCAAACTTTCAGAGGACTAGGAGGGAAGACTAGGCTCTAATTTCATCCTAGTGGAGAAAGAAAAAAGAAATGGAAAGTGAGTTTAATTACTCTTTGCTAAAAAGCCGTTTCTTCTCCCCATACTTAACAATATGAAGATTAGGTCTTCACATGCTGCTGTAAGAGAATAGACTCATCCATCATTAGATGTATCCTGGAAAAGGGAATGAGGGAATTTTTCCTGAGGCTCTGGATAGTATATCACTTGAGGCACCTTATAAGAAGGGATACTGTGTTTGGCTTTATACAGGATTGCTGATTTAGGATGATCATACATCCTGGTTTGCCAAAAGGGATCTTTATGTCTATTAACCTGGCATAATTATTAATGGCACCATCTTTACTCCCAAGTTATAAGAGTTTAGAAGATAAATTGTATGGTTTCTCTACTGAAGGTCAGAGTAATGAGAGGTCAGAGCAGCTCCCAGCCCCATTGCCTTGAGTGAGGTTTCTGTCTCACAGGGAGTTGCAGCCAAGAGTCTGAAGGATTCTGCCTCTTCACAGTCTGGATGAATAAATAGTGCCATAGGGATGTGAGCCCTACCCATTACTGAATGACTGCTGGTGTCCTTGGCTGCTCCAGAGATAGTAACATCAAGTAGTCTTCCTGGCATTTGAGGGGATGAACTCGGGGTAGGAGAAGAGGAGAGGCTGTACTCATCCATGAAGTCAGCAGTTTGGGGAATAGGAGGACATGGGCTAAGAACTTCAGTCTCGGGGGATCTCCTTGAATTAGGGTCATGTAAAGGGAGACACATTGTGCCTTGGTGATAGAAGGCTCCTTAGTGAGGCATTTATAAAGCCCCTGTTTAATCTCAGGAAGAATGTACCTATGTTGGAACAGTTATTCATAGTTATTGAAATTTCATAGGCCAAAAATTAAAAAGTGTATAGATGACCACGTATCTTGGGTCACTACTTAACTTGGCATGCTTTATTATTATTGATGATTTGGAGGCTATTTTGTAATGCAATTTATTCAGAAGGTATTTATTGGGTACCTACAAGATGTTGGGCCACTGACTGAGATTGTAAGAAATAGAGACTAGAATAAGATAATGTTCTTGCTCATAAAGCTCATTCTCAGCATTGACTACGATACACCATTTAAGCAATACTTAAAAATACCCCCAACAATACTGTATGTTGTTTATGGAAACATTCATATATAATGAAAGTACAAAAACATGCATGAGAATGATGCAACAACTTTTGGATACTGGTTAATCCTAAAGGGAGTGAGAGGGAAGGAAAGGGATCGGTTCCAGGCTTTAGCTGTATGAAAAGCATTTTATTTTGCAGGAGGAGAGGTAGTGGGGGTGGGGAAGAGAGAGACACCTGAAGCAAAAATAGCAGCATTTTAGCATCCATTATATCTTATTTAAATCTGTTAAATCTTAAAATATACCAGTGTAGTTTTCTAAATTCCTGAAATATTTTATAATTAAAAACTAAAGTAAAAAAGGCCAGGTGCGGTGACTCATGCCTGTAATCCCAGCACTTGGGAAGGCTGAGGTGGGCAGATTACCAGAGGTCAGGAGTTCAAGACCAGCGTGGCCAGTATGATGAAACCCCATCTCTACTAAAAATACAAAATTAGCTGTGCATGGTGGTGAACGCCTGTAATCCCAGCTACTTGGGAGGCTGAGTCAGGAGAATTGCTTGAACTTGGGAGGTGGAAGTTGCAGTGAGCTGGGATCACACCACTGCACTCCAGACTGGGCAACAGAGTGAGATTCTGTCTCAAAAAAAAAAAAAAAAAAAAGAAAAGAGCAAAACTCTGTCTCAAAAAAAATAATTAAAGTAAAATTGTACCCAATAAATGTATACAACTATAATTTGTCAATTCACAATTAAAAAAAAATAAAATTTACAACAGCCTTCTAAGGAAGATAGACCCGTTAAAATGGATGGTCCTTTTGTCATTACAAAGGCTTTTCCACAAATGAGCTGTTGAAGAAGAGAGATGGAAGGAGGAAGAGTGGGCAGAGAAGTGGGTGAGGCTGGGGCTCCTGGGGCCATGGAGTGTATGAAAAATCTGCAAGTGTGGTTGGACCATTTCACAAAAAGGGATGTATCTATATGCAATTGAAGTTGTGTGAGATTCTCTAATGTGAACCTCTTCATCTACTCACATACATGGGCCTGGTGAGAGTTGTTTTTTAAACTGAGGGAGGTGTCAGGTTCTTATCCTTGGTGATTCTGGCACAGAAAGAAATAGCATAGCAGGCACAGAATCAATGACCTACACGGTTGGTTAGCTCAGTGGAAACAGTAGTTGAGAGTCAGAGTAGACCAAAAGGATCTACCTCTTGAAGAATTCACGACAACTTGAGGAGGACTTTGGATCTTCACAGGGCAGGGCATAAGCGTGAGTGGAATTGAGGCGATCTTCCCTAAAGCTGAAGAGCAGGGAGATTTCAGTGGACCGTGGGTGACGTGGGACTCAGTAAACCCTTCAATGACAGTCATGAGTGAAACTCTAGGAAAAGATAGGGAAGATATTTTCATTAAAAAAAAATTGTGGATACATAGTAGGTGTATATATTTATGGGGTACATGAGATGGTTTGATGGCAGGCATGTAATGTGAAAAAAACACATCATGGAGAATGGGGTATCCATCCCCTCAAGCATTTATCC